AAGTCAACCTCAATGATGTGGAAATGTGTCTTGTGCTAGGGTACAAGATTTTTGCAACAGAATCAACCAATGGAAAGTCTGTACCACAATCCTTTTCATAATGTATATCTTTTAATATATTTGTGAATAAAATATTGTTTACAAAAAAAAATTCAACATGGCAACCCATTTCTCAATGTAACAAAGAATTGACGTCATTAAATTCCCTTGATATCATCGACTAATCTTTACAGAGAAAGAAAAACAATATAAAATGTCATATATATACCAAAAATCAAACTATTTCATTCTTCACTATTCATTCGTAACTTCTGATGAAGATAAACATGTCAATTATCATTTATTCCAGTGACACAGATTCTTAACACACGACTTCTTTTATTGACCAACAATCATTTTAATGTATCAGTTCTTGGGTATATCAATCAATTAAAATATTATATTTTCATTACAATTATGACTTAATTAACTTGATTTGGATATCAATAAGATAAAAAAAAACTTGTATTATTTATTATTATAGTTATCAAAATTGTGTATCTATATTATCTATCTGGTAATATATCATTAAAATATTAATGATTAAAATCTCCAATATAAAATCAAATAATTACAGAGAGAAGTTGTTAATTCCCTTTCTTCTTCTCAAGAAGTGGAACAATCAATTATTGAGATGTTTTTCAATAAAATATATATATCTTGTGTAACAGTAAAAGTTTTTAAAGTGATACTACCTCTTAGAATTGATGTTAAATTTAAAGTCTCAACATGTATATTTTCTTCAGTTAGACTTACCTGGTGTCATGACTGTTTTAGAAAATAATCACTATATAAGAAGATTTATCAATTAAAATAAATAATTATTGAAGAATTTTTTAAGAACTAACAGCCCAGAGTGTGTATTTCTGATGATTCTGAGGTATCAAAATCTCCATCAATACATTCCTCTTTTGTTTTTGAGAATGATTGTAAACTGCCATAATTTCCACAGAAAAGTCGGTTAAGACCCAAGTTGGGGTCGCAACCCAGAAGAACATGTCAAATTTCAGTAGGGACATGAGATGAATTGGTCAGTTGTTTGAGGGTTCAGGTTCTATTTTAATATTTCTGTTTTAGTAGGTAATTTCTCAGAGGATAATTCAAGTTAAAACTTGCTATTTACCAAATGAAAAGTAATATTTTAATGTGCCCAATATTTTTACATATTAATGTAGGCTATGAATGAAAATACCTTTTTAAAAACCTTAAGATAGAGAGTCAGAACTCATCAAATTCAGAACATAATACCTTGCTTTTGACATCATTGCACCAGAGTGGTAATTTTCTTACTCTAAATAAATTAATGTTTTATGTTTTGAAAACCCTAATCTAGTTCTAGATGTCTAAGAAAAATGTGCTTTAAAAAATCTGGACAAGCGGATTAAAGTTTTCAGACATTCTTAAACCAAAATCTGCTTCCTGCCAATTTTAAGATGGACAATAATCTGATTGCATGAAGAGCACTTAAAGGGATATAGTTATCTAATTTTACTCATGGTAAAATGGTAGAGAAAAGTAGGGCAAACTCCATTCATTTCATTTCAATGAGTATATTTAAAGGGGGTGGGGGGATATTGTAGTAAGTAACAGTCTGAAAATGCAGAATATACAGAATACATGTCAGATTTCTATCTGTAATGTACATGTAGCTGAAATTAATTTTTACCCAGGAAAAAGCACATATTTCAACAACAATATTCCTTTAATGCATTACAAAAAAAAATGACCCATTTTGCTTTTCAGGGATCTTTCAAATGGACCACCTTTGATTCATAATGCAATCCCATTCTCTAATACAATTTTAAATTGTATCCTGCAGGTTTATGTGGTCATGTAAAAGTAGTGTCTTCAATCAAATAAAGCTTAGAAAGAAAACATTCTTAAAAGAAAGAGATAAAATCGACAAAATGATAAAACCTTTATCTCTAACCATTCTGAAAATCTTATGGAATGACAAGAGCCAGGTGTCTGTAGAGAAAGCTGTCCAGTGAACTGCATCAGTCAAGATAATTTCTCTTAATCACAAAAATTATGTTTGTTTGTCAAATCCAAGAAGAAAGGTATAGCCTTCCACACCATGCCTAATTTAGGGTCAATATGATTCAAACATGTTCTCAATGTGTATTAAGATGGTTGTAAGTATGCTGATTGCTCTAGAATAGTGAAATGCTCTCAAATAGTTAATTAATTCGCTATCCATTACACCCATCATATCTAAGCTAATCTGTCATTATGTTGAAATTTGAGCCTTGAAATCAACATGTTTACAGAAATATCTTTTCTTGATAGCCCGTCATGTTTTGAAAAATAAAATGAAATTTCTATTTTGCACTACATTTGAAGGGATTATGCAATTTTCATGCAATTTTATAGACTATTTACATATATTCAAGAACCAAAAAAACACCCGAGAATGGCAAACCATGGCCTTTAATTGTATATAATTTTCTGAAGAATAGAGACTTGAAATGACAGTAACATAGATAAAGATGTCATATGACAGGTTTGATATTGGATTAAAATATGTCATGGGCAAACAATTTCTTATCACTTTTTCACCAATCTCATTGATACCATCATTCATTTAGACAGCTTTAACATGTGATTTTACTGAGGCTACTGATTAATGACAGTAATAATTGGCTATTGGAGAAACATCAAGCCAGATATTCCATGATAAGCACAATTTAACTTCTATTGTAAGGGACCAATATAATGACCATCATGGTATTAGTACAAGTGAGATATTGGCAATGAAATATAGAAATATTGCTTGTTAAGTGGACAGAATTGATGAACTAAATTTAAGAGTTTAAATAAACCCAATTAGTTACTGATCTAAATGTATAACATGGGGGCATATATGTTTCCTTAAGCTCTAGATTGCAAAAGAGAAAATGGGTCCACTTTTGAATCTGTTAGAATGGTTTTTTTATTCTTAATCTCTGGATGGATCCATAATAATTGTTAACTTTTTGAACTCTCTTGTCTGAGAAAATGATAGAACAGATTCACATATTGATGAGTAATTTGTTTCTCTCTTGATAATACGAACTGAAAAAGAAAAATGCTATCCAAATGGGGCATGGCCGGTTTGGGTGTAATGTAGTACTTTTGACTTTTCTGTTTGTTTTTTTTTTTACAAAGTAAAGTGTCTAATGATCTTTCACATTTAATTAGCAAAGGTTAATAATTGCACAATTAGTATAAGATGATTTTTAACATGTTAGACTTTTTGTAAAAGAATGTAATGATTGTTAATATCAAGATCACATGCCTCATGCTTCATTATAATCTAAATGTATCATCTATAAGTAGCTTTTTTATTACATAGTTAGTAACCTGCTTTGATTATAATGCTTTGTTAATCTTTGGCATGTAACTGAAGCAATTAATGGGAGGAACATTTATATAGAACTATTATCTTGGGTTATTCAGTTAATACGTTTAAAGACTTATTTATGGACTCTGTAATAATCTTACAGCTTAAGCTTTCAGTTAAATCAGGTATGAAGTAGAAGTTAAATTATACGGTTTTAAAATGTCATTGCATTCTCCTGCTGTTTATCTTCAATTTTCATGGCAGCTAGCTTTTATCTACTTAAAAAATTGTTCATGTACATTTTGAATAATGATTGAGGTTAAAATTTTATTGAGCTCAGAAAACCACAGTAATTGAACTATGTTTGGCTTTTTTTCTTTCAACGGTTTATTGAACTCAGTACAATCTGACCTTTATACATCATCCTACTGGAACAGATCAAAATTTAAGTATTTATGACTTTTTTTAACTTAGATATTGAACGTGTATAATAAGACCAATATTCTGCTCAAAGATAAAGGTTCTTCCTAGGAACTTGCCTTTTCTGATTATAATATTTTATATGACTCTATAATATTCTCTGCCACTTGACATTGATTTTCGTGGATTCAGAGTAGTCAGAAGTGATAAGCCCATGTCATTGTGAGCAATAAAAGAATGAAAACTTCAACTAAGAAGCTGTCAGGCTGAAAAACAAACACCTTTCCCTCTTGAAATTTTGAAACATGCATACCGAGTGGCTGGTTGTTACTAAGGATCAAGCAAAGGAAGATGAGCAACCTAGAAGCTGACTTGTTGACTTGGGTCAGGAGTTTACTCCCTGACTTCTTGTTAACTGCAATGCAAATCACACAGGGCTGACTCAATATCTGGACATAATGACTGACAAAAACTGGACTGTAGACAGTTGGACAGCAAAACTTATGCAGCCATTTTTAAAATTCACCAAAATTTCCCTTATTGCACACCACATTCCATTTCCTGTTGGATTTAAGTTCAATTGTTATTAAATAATAACATGAAAATTAAATTCATTAGAGATACAATGGAAGAGTTAATACATTGATTAAATTTATTGTTTGGCTCAAAAAATCAGAATATAGTCATATGACTTTATCTTACTTGGTCTGGTAATTTTATGTGATAACTAAGTGGTAATTATAAATTAAATTGAAAAAAGAAATATTTACTTTAAACAATTATTGTCTATAAAAACAGAATAAATTTCACACATTCTGATTTCTTTTTTTTGACAAAATGTTTTTCTCTCATTGAACAGTGTCTGTTATTTATATATAGTTATATTAACACTTTCACAATCTTTATCGAGCACCCGAGCAATCAAAGTAACCAGTTCCAAATGAATGTTCAATTTATAAGAAAGAAAGAAAGATAATATTTAACAAGGATAACTATTATGTTCACAATTAAGAATCCTTTTTACCAGCTGCAGGCCAAACTTCTTGGCATTGATCTTTCCTGGACTATCTGTTCCCATTTACAGCTGGGTTGACTCGAATTATGATTGAAGATCACATCAGACTTTCACATGCCAGTCAAGATTGGAACCCAGATAACTATATAAATGACGTCATGTAAAGAACAATGATGGTCTAAGCGACTGTGCTATAGAACCAACATGTCTATCTTAAATGTTTTTGTAACTACTTCAGGTAATTCACTTAGCATACTATTATCAAATGTCAGAATGTCTCATGATAATTAAGAAAATGACAAAAACAATTTTTTTTTTCAAAAAGGTTAGCCCATGTGTGCTCACAATTTTCACTTTTCAAAAACATTTTTTTGTGGCTAATTGAGGGTATTTATGTATTTCGGAGGACAGCGATGACAAATTTCATTAGATCTTATTCTTACTTGTAAGTTTTGAGATCTTACTGCTATTTCTTAGTAGAATAACTCTTTGGAGAAGAGCTTGCATCATTGTAACCTTTGTCAGTAGCATGGAGTTCTTATGCTGTATCAATTGATCTATTTCTAGAATGGCAAAATTAGAGTATACATTCTTGACAAAGATTAAATGAATAAACTGAATAGATAATATAGAAAATAATGAATATTAATGATATTTCTGGTCTAATTAAAAAGATAATGAGTTCCTAGTAACCAATTTATCAAAGAGATATATGATGATAAAATAGCCCACAATTTCTTTCTGATGACCAAAAACTTATAAGAAATGTAATTAGATACTTGACCTTGAGAATTGAGCCAATTTCGAGATTTATTAAAGAGCTTTTAAAACTTCCACTTTCAAGCTGAGTTGGAACATGATCATCTAGTACACAATCAGACGTCAAATACCATCATGATACTGAGTGGGTGCGTAAGACTCTGTATTGCTAACCCAATTTCTTTTGTGTGTGTCCTGTTATTTCTCGTTAGATCTATGATCATGTTTTCAGCATGCACATCTTCCTTTTAGTTTCCAAGCAAGTAAAAAAAAACATGACTGACTAATACACATGTCAAAATAAGGTGCACTACAGTAGATAATTAACAATACCACTAAAAAGACCCACTCACTTGAAAGAAGTGGAATCACACCAGTAACAAAATGACCCTTTTTCTCACTAACAGAAATACTGTGCTAAATTTAAGTTATGTTTTAGTATTTTGACTGATATGTTTTAAGCTAGGTTATGGCTGAAAATTCATTATTTTGTACTCATACATCTTTAGAAATGGTACTGGTAGCTACAGACTACATCTAAACAATACTTATTATATTCAAATATCAAATGTCAATAGTTAGCATGAAATTTCTTTCATGTTAATTAATATTTCTAATATGGAAACTGAGTACAGACAGAATTCATCCTGATCATACTATAAGCTTTATTATGTCTCGGAAAAAAAAAATGTTACAAATATCTGCCAGCAATATTTAAGATGAGTAAAACGTAGAAATATCTCTCTTGAAAATCAACAGGTTTCCTGACAGGTTACATGAGGCTATTTTTTCTCTGTCTTCTTCTGCCTCTAACTATTATGTGTCTGGAGTCGCAATTGATTGCTTAAATGAGGCTTACACTTTAATTGGATTTGAATTCTTAAAAAAAAGGTTTTATGAGTAAAAACTATATTTTTCTATATAAATGAAAAAAAATCCAGACTATAATGTATTTGATATTTCTTCTTAACAAAGCTGATTTATTTCTCATTTGACCTAACTGTTATGACACACCTAATCTCATTCTATTCTATGGACGTGATACATAATTCCTAATACATGAAGAAGGATTTTAAAGGTAAGCTCCATTAACATGACGTAATTCAAAACAAAATTACTTTCTGAAGTTATAAAGTACATTCCAGGCAAGACTAGAATAAAGATTAAAAATATTTTGTTCATTAAGGTTGCCATTCCAAATTTGGAGTTTAACACTTGATAAATATGAAGTATGCTTAACAGACATCAAGGTCATTTTCTGCTTTTATCTGGAACTAAACTTAAATAAGATTAGAGTCTGAAGTTAATGCATGTCTGTGAAACATGTAAAGATAAAAACTTGAATAGACAAGGATGTAGTTGTCAGTGATATCCTAAAAATTGCTTAATGTACATGCAAATCATCAACATGTTCCAAAACATTAAACTGATACAATAGTTACTATAATCAAGGGGCTGTAACTAGGGTATTTTTTCTCTGTTGTCTTTAAAGACTTGATCTTCAGGGCAGTAACCTACATCAAGGTAAATGAGGCAAATACCTCATGCAGAAATTACCAAAAAATAATAAATAAATAGAAAAATAGAAAATAGTTAAAAATATAAATATGATATCTGATTTATATATACCTTTTTAATGTCTTTAAAGTTATGTCTGTCATCACAATGCTTTTGGTAGACAGTAACCACCTGTATAGATTTTAAAAGGGAATATATAAATTTCTATTTATTTATCTATATTTTGGTAATTTTGGCATGAGGCATTTGCCTCATTTACCTTGATGTACATACTGCACTGAAGATCAAGACACTGTCCTATCATTCTAAAATGGAGAAAAGTTTGATCCCTGCATGCCTTAAGAATTTTCAACAGTATTTTCACCTGTATATGACACAGATCAGAGTGGTGTGACCATCACATCCCTTCAAATAGGCTGGAAATTGAAAATTTCAAAGCAACGGGTAATTAAAATGCTTTCATCATTTCACTACAAAGCACTGCAGTTCTCATAGATGCATTAAAGTAGAAAAACATGGAAATTCTCTCTATTTATATAATCTGCCTATTTGTAGTCAATATTATTAGTTAAAGAGTATTTAGATTACAATGATATTAATAGGAAATCATTAAATATTATATAAAACTTAATTAGTGTCTGATTCAATGCACTGAGCATGATTAACATGAGTATTCAGTCAGTTACATGTATACAGAAACTTTCATCTTGATTTGGAAGGTGAACATAAGGACTTGAAAGATAAAGCTATTAGGAAAAGCAAAAAGTGTGAATCTATTGATAATGTTAAGAGAGAAATTATAATCTAAAGTAATACAGTATATTATGTGCAATAAATAAAGAACAAAGGAGAAATAAGTGCCATTCGTATAATAAAATTATAAATGAGATTGGTTAAAGCTATTACAATTTACTCATAAAATGAGGATAATATCATAATGTTTTAAATTGTCTCATGCTTTCTTGTAAATTGTTGTTTATATTATTATTGAGACATTTATATAGTCATATCTCTTACAGTATGTCTTTTTGTCTGTCAGATAGATTTCAATGTTCACACAATATTCAATGACTTGTCAGATAGATTTCAATGTTAACACCATATTTGATGTCTTTGTCAGATACATTTCAATGTTAACACCATATTCGATGTCTTTGTCAGATACATTTCAATGTTAACACCATATTTGATGTCTTTGTCAGATAGATTTCAATGTTAACACCATATTCGATGTCTTTGTCAGATAGATTTCAATGTTAACACCATATTCGATGTCTTTGTCAGATAGATTTCAATGTTAACACCATATTCGATGTCTTTGTCAGATAGATTTCAATGTTAACACGATATTCGATGTCTTTGTCAGATACATTTTTCAAAGTAAACACCATATTCGATGTCTTTGTCAGATACATTTCAATGTTAACACCATATTCGATGTCTTTGTCAGATACATTTTTCAATGTTAACACCATATTCGATGTCTTTGTCAGATACATTTTTCAATGTAAACACCATATTCGATGTATTTGTCAGATACATTTCGGTGTTCACTTCATAGTGGAAGTCTTATCTTTGTCAGGTAAATTTCACTTTTCACACCATGGTGATATGTTTGGTTGTCATACGGATTTTAGTGTTTACAAAAGAGTTGATGTGTTACTCTGTTTTTCAGATGAATGTCGTGTTTACACAATAGACAGAGTGTTATCTCTGATTGTCAGATAGATGTCAGTGTTTACACAATAGACAGAGTGTTATCTCTGATTGTCAGATAGATGTCAGTGTTTACACAATAGACAGAGTGTTATCTCTGATTGTCAGATAGATGTCAGTGTTTACACAATAGACAGAGTGTTATCTCTGATTGTCAGATAGATGTCAGTGTTTACACAATAGACAGAGTGTTATCTCTGATTGTCAGATAGATGTCAGTGTTTACACAATAGACAGAGTGTTATCTCTGATTATCAGTATTGTCAGTATTCACGCCATGAATGTTTCATCGTTGTCTTGTAGACAGATGTCAGTTTTCACACGAAAATGTATTTTGTCATATTTGTTTGTCAGTCAGTGTTCACAACGTACTAGAAATGTCATCTCTGTTCGTCAGACAAATGTCAGTGTTTACACCATGACTGTCAGATATATGTCAATGTTCACTGAATAGAAGATTGCTCTGTCTTGTGTTATCTTTGATCTGTTGTACAAAAAGTATCTCAAATTTGACTTGAGTCAATGTAAGTCTACTTTCTTTTGTAATTGATTTCCTGGAAGAACTGGTTTTCAATCTCTTTTTATTATGTCTAATCCGATTTGATGATCTTTGAAATTTTGATATTTTTTCTACTACTATGTTACAATATAACAAATAGATAAAAGAAGGGAAGTTATTGATTGATCATATTAACTTTCTAATATATTTTTCTATTCACATCATCGATCTACATCTACAGTTATAGATTATAATAGTGCTGATTGTCTCAAACACCTTGGTTCCAAGCTTAGAAACTTAATTCAAGAACCCTTCAGAATAATAAGCATTGACTATAATGTGTGGTTTTCAGATCAATCAAGTACTTATATTGTTTGGTTAATAGGTGCAATATATGAAGGAAGGTGATAGCTTTGATTTCTTCATTGATTTTGAATTTCAGACCATCCCATTTGGGGAATTTTAAGTGGCCTATTCTGTTCATGTTATTGTAAGGTGTCTGTGATATTTTCATGTTTTATATTATTTTTACCATCAAGTTGCATCTGTTCCAGAAGTATATCAATGTCAGAGAAACCTTGACCTCGGCCTTTTCACAAGTAATCTCAGTCTATTGTCACCTATTTCTTGTTATTCCGAAGACCCACTGGGAAAATTACAGTTAAATTCTCTTGCCATAAATTTCCTTCTTTGTCAGATGTTGAATATCTGACACATAGTGAATATTTTTAGCCAAGTAACATTGTATTAAGCTCCATTTGATGTGGTCTAGTTGTCACATACAAGTATATGTCAAGGTTTAAGAAGTTTCAGTTCTCTAATGCATCGACGTGTTATGCTAATAGTTTTAGTTAATATTACATGTCTGGTGTTTTGAATTATGTCTAAAATCTTAGGTCTAGATGTCAAAGTTATAATGGACTTAAAAGTACAGGTCTCATTATTTCACAGACACTAAATGGTAGGTCATTATATGTAAAATAGCATAAGTATGAATATATTTGTTGCCTCAGAAGTTTATTAAGTGTGAACTCTAATACATTACTTGCGCTCTGTAAAACCCTTCAAAAAGTTCATTATTCCATCAATTTTATTGTACCACAAATCACTCAGTAGATTTATATTGTGGATACACTTGTTTATCAAGCTATAATGCACTTAGTAATGATTTTAAAATAATAATTGTAAAGATTGCACTCTAAGTACAAAACTGAAATTCAATACCTTTTTCATTTAAAATGTGGGTGCGTTCAAAAAGTTGTACCTCTATCTGTTTTTCACAGGATTTTTTCCTCATTTTACAAACAGCATGCTAAAGTACAACCTTCCTTAGTTATCAAAGTGTGGCCTTCTATGTGCTTCGAGATGTTAAAACAGGTAAGTTCCTCAGTAAGACACCATTGTGCAGATACCATTAGCTTTGAGCTTCAAGAGATTGAAGGTTAAATAACAATTGTAAGAATATATATATGAGTGTACATGTCTGTAAGCTACTGATGATGAATGTGTCATGGGAAATTTAATATAATGAAATAGATATCCTTAGAGCATACTACTGTTAAAAACAATTTGTCAGGTATTATCAGAGAGTATTGGAAGATTATTAAAATGAAGGGGTGACTTAATTTTGAACATACACAACTGCCCTGAAGATTTTACTATTACTAATTTACTTTATATCTACAGAACTTTCTTAACGCCAAATTGATTAAAAACTTCTTCAGCAACCAATTTAGACATAAGTCAAATTTTCAAAGTTACACAAAGTAGCTTAAAGAATAAAAGCACAGAAAAACACTGACAGATATATACATTTACAAACAGATCATTGTTCAGGAAAAAGTTTTAAGTGCCTAAATTATGTTCAAAATTACCTGTATACCTGGAAATTACCTTACATAATATTTGTTTCAGATTATTTTTCCATTTATTTGGTTTTAATTAAAGAACTATGTGCTTTTATGTCTAATATAATCTAACAATAGGAAATGATATACAATTTTGAAGTCTTGTAAAAATTCAGGTGGAAATTTGCCTGTGGCATTTGATGCATTAAAATGTTGATCGGAACTAATACATGCAGCGTCTGAGAAAAAAAAAAATTTAATATGTGGTTAATATATCTTTGACCTATTATTTCTATTTTTCATTATTTAACACTGGTAAATAATAATGTGTTTGAAAATAGAAACAGCCGTTTTTTTTGTCATGTCTTATATTATATCTAACTTTGACAACAGAGTATTAAATAATTAGAGAGCTAAAAATATCATGTGTCATCATCTACCATCTTATATTATATATATTTCTAGTCTAATATAGACATAATCATTAATTAGTTTATAAACATAATATAATTTCATTAGTTTAAGGTAAAATATGTGTCATAGAGTATCTTGGTCTTTCCAACATGTTTTCTCACTTCAATAT